CATGTCCTACACCACGTGACAATATCAGAACACGACAACCCAAAGGTAGGTCAACAGTGAGGTTGATCAAGTACATGTCCTACTGTATGTGGCAATATCAGAACACAAGAACCCAATGGTAGGTCAACATTGAGATTGATCAGGTACATGTCCTACTGTATGTGACAATATCAGACTGAGATCACGACAACCCAATGGTAGGTCAACAGTGAGGTTGATCAAGTACATGTCCTACTGTATGTGTCAATATCAGAACACGACAACCCAATGGTAGGTCAATAGTGAGGTTGATCAGATACATATCTGCCACCACGTGACAATATCAGAACACGACAACCCAATGGTAGGTCAACAATGGGGTTGAGCAAGTAGATGTCCTACTGTATGTGGCAATATCAGAACACGAGAAGCCAATGGTAGGTCAACAGTGAAGTTGATCTGATACATGTCCCACTGTATGTGGCAGTATCAGAACACGACAACCCAATGGTAGGTCAACAGTGGGGTTGATCAAGTACATGTCCTACTGTATGTGACAATATCAGAACACGACAACTCAATGGTAGGTCAAGATTTAGTTTGATCAGGTACATGTCCTGCACCATGTGACAATATCAGAACACGACAACCCAATGGTAGGTCAACAGTGAGGTTGATCAAGTACATGTCCTACTGTATGTGTCAATATCAGAACACGACAACCCAATGGTAGGTCAGTAGTGAGGTTGATCAGATACATATCTGCCACCACGTGACAATATCAGAACACGACAACCCAATGGTAGGTCAACAATGGGGTTGAGCAAGTAGATGTCCTACTGTATGTGGCAATATCAGAACACGAGAAGCCAATGGTAGGTCAACAGTGAAGTTGATCTGATACATGTCCCACTGTATGTGGCAGTATCAGATCACGACAACCCAATGGTAGGTCAACAGTGAGGTTGATCAGGTACATGTCTTGCACGACGTGACAATATCAGAACACGACAACCCAATGGTAGGTCAGCAGTGAGGTTGATCTGATACATGCCCTACTATATGTGACAATATCAGACTGAGATCACGACAACCCAATTGTAGGTCAACTGTGAGGTTGATCTGGTACATGTCCTGCACCACGTGACAATATCAGAACACAACAACGCAATGGTAGGTCAACAGTGAGGTTGATCAGGTACATGTCCTACTGTATGTGGCAATATCAGAACACGACAGCCCAATGGTAGGTCAACAATGGGGTTGAGCAAGTACATGTCCTACTGTATGTGGCAATATCAGAACACGACAACTCAATGGTAGGTCAAGATTTAGGTTGATCAGGTACATGTCCTGCACCATGTGACAATATCAGAACACGACAACCCAATGGTAGGTCAACATTGAGGTTGATCAGGTACATGTCCTACTGTATGTGACAATATTAGACTGAGATCACGACAACCCAATGGTAGGTCAACAGTGAAGTTGATCAGGTACATGTCTTGCACCACGTGACAATATCAGAACACGACAACCCAATGGTAGGTCAGCAGTGAGGTTGATCTGATACATGCCCTACTATATGTGACAATATCAGACTGAGATCACGACAACCCAATGGTAGGTCAACTGTGAGGTTGATCTGGTGCATGTCCTGCACCACGTGACAATATCAGAACACAACAACGCAATGGTAGGTCAACAGTGAGGTTGATCAGGTACATGTCCTACTGTATGTGGCAATATCAGAACACGACAACCCAATGGTAGGTCAACAGTGAGGTTGATCAGGTACATGTCTCCCACCACGTGACAATATCAGAACACGATAACCCAATGGTAGGTCAACAGTGAGGTTGATCAAGTACATTTCCTACACCACGTGACAATATGAGAACACAACCCAAATGGTAGGTCAACAGTGAGGTTGATCAGGTACATGTCCTACTGTATGTGGCAATATCAGAACACAACAACCCAATGGTAGGTCAACAGTGGGGTTGATCAGCAACGTACATGTCCTACTGTATGGCAATATCAGAACACGACAACCCAATGGTAGGTCAACTGTGAGATTGATCAGGTACATGTCCCACTGTATGCTGCAGTATCAGAACACTACAACCCAATTGTAGGTCAACAGTGGGTTGATCATGTACATGTCCTACTGTATGTATCAGCAATATCAGAACACGACAACCCAATTGTAGGTCAACAATGGTGAGGTTGATCAGGTACATGTGCTACTGTATGTGGCAATATCAGAACACGACAACCCAATGGTAGGTCAACAGTGAGGTTGATCAGGAACATGTCTCCCACAACGTGACAATATCAGAACACGACAACCCAATGGTAGGTCAACAGTGAAGTTCCCATCAGGTACATGAAACACGACTACCCAATGGTGGCAATATCAGAACACGACAACCCAATGGTAGGTCAACAGTGAGGTTGATCAGGTACATGTCCTACACCACGTGACAATATCAGAACACGACAACCCAAAGGTAGGTCAACAGTGAGGTTGATCAGGTACATGTCCTACTGTATGTGACAATATCAGAACACAAGAACCCAATGGTAGGTCAACATTGAGATTGATCTGGTACATGTCCTACTGTATGTGACAATATCAGACTGAGATCACGACAACCAAATGGTAGGTCAACAGTGAGGTTGATCAAGTACATGTCCTACTGTATGTGTCAATATCAGAACACGACAACCCAATGGTAGGTCAGTAGTGAGGTTGATCAGATACATATCTGCCACCACGTGACAATATCAGAACACGACAACCCAATGGTAGGTCAACAATGGGGTTGAGCAAGTAGATGTCCTACTGTATGTGGCAATATCAGAACACGAGAAGCCAATGGTAGGTCAACAGTGAAGTTGATCTGATACATGTCCCACTGTATGTACTATATGCAATATCAGAACACGACAACCCAATGGTAGGTCAACAGTGGGTTGATCAAGCACATGTCCTACTGTATGTGACAATATCAGAACACGACAACTCAATGGTAGGTCAAGATTTAGGTTGATCAGGTACATGTCCTGCACCATGTCAGAACAACAACCCAATGGTAGGTCAACACAGGTACATGTCCTACTGTATGTGACAATATTAGACTGAGATCACGACAACCCAATGGTAGGTCAACAGTGAGGTTGATCAGGTACATGTCTTGCACCGACGTGACAATATCAGAACACGACAACCCAATGGTAGGTCAGCAGTGAGGTTGATCTGATACATGCCCTACTATATGTGACAATATCAGACTGAGATCACGACAACCCAATGGTAGGTCAACAGTGAGGTTGATCTGGTACATGTCCTGCACCACGTGACAATATCAGAACACAACAACGCAATGGTAGGTCAACAGTGAGGTTGATCAGGTACATGTCCTACTGTATGTGGCAATATCAGAACACGACAACCCAATGGTAGGTCAACAGTGACGTTGATCAGGTACATGTCTCCCACCACGTGACAATATCAGAACACGATAACCCAATGGTAGGTCAACAGTGAGGTTGATCAAGTACATTTCCTACACCACGTGACAATATGAGAACACAACCCAATGGTAGGTCAACAGTGAGGTTGATCAGGTACATGTCCTACTGTATGTGGCAATATCAGAACACAACAACCCAATGGTAGGTCAACAGTGGGGTTGATCAGGTACATGTCCTACTGTGTGTGGCAATATCAGAACACGACAACCCAATGGCAGGTCAACATTGGGGTTGTTCAAGTACATGTCCTACTGTATGTGGCAAGATCAGACTGGGATCACGACAACCCAATGGTTGGTTAAAAGTGAGGTTAATCAGGTACATGTCCTACTGTATGTGTCAATATCAGAACACGACAACCCAATGGTAGGTCAACAGTGAGATTGATCAGGTACATGTCCTACACCACGTGACAGTATCTAAACTCGACAACCCAATGGTAGGTCAACAGTGAGGTTGATCAAGTACATGTCCTACTGTATGTGACAATATCAGACTGAGATCACGACAACCCAATGGTAGGTCAACAGTGAGGTTGATCAGGTACATGTCCTACACCACGTTACAATATCTAAACACGACAACTCAATGGTAGGTCAACATTGAGGTTGATCTGGTACATGTCCTACTGTATGTGACAATATCAGACTGAGATCACGACAACCCAATGGTAGGTCAACAGTGAGGTTGATCAGGTACATGTCTCCCACCACGTGACAATATCAGAACACTACAACCCAATTGTTGGTTAAAAGTGAGGTTGATCAGGTACATGTCCTACTGTATGTGACAATATCAGACTGAGATTACGACAACCCAATGGTTGGTTAAAAGTGAGGTTGATCAGGTACATGTCCTACTGTATGTGGCAATATCAGAACACAACAACCCAATGGTAGGTCAACATTGGGGTTGATCAAGTACATGTCCTACTGTATGTGGCAATATCAGACTGAGATCACGACAACCGAATGGTTGGCCAACAGTTGGATTTATCAGGTACACCCTCTATACTACGTGTCACACTGAACACACGACAACTCAGTGTTGGGTCAAAATAGGTCCTCAGCATTAGCCTTGGTCGATAGAGACGATCGGGTTGTCAGGCCTATTACTTTGGTTAATAGCATGTCTTCGCAAGCAGAAAAATACAACATGCAAATACTTTGCCTACGTCAAAGCATCTATGTTCTTGAAATGTAACCTTTAGACTTTCCAGCGCTTGATCTATAAAGGACCTTTGAAGATTTAACTTCCACAGACGCAAATGTAAGGTGTCAATTCAAAAGATGCAGCATATTCCTACGAAACACTTTGGCAGAGGATTGTACATGTTGTTGATTTCAGTGTAAAGAAATTGATTTGCCTTTACGCTTGATAGTCAACATTGATTGATATGATGTGCAGTTTACAGTTTAGTATTTATACATTTTGAACGTAGATATGTTTTTTCTTGATTCAAGTAACATTTTCAGTATTAATAAGAAACCTCTCATACTCTCACAGCACTGTGACCGTTTCTGCGTCGGCATCTGCCGCTACTGGGGACGAATTCCAGTTCGATGTCGTAATTGTCTCCACAGAAGAGCGTGTGGTCAGGGTAAGTGTGACACCTGCAGGAACGGTTTGTCAACGTCATGACCAACAGACGCTTGTCAGTCTAAGCACCAACGTGTGCTTGTTAGTTTAAGCACCAAGAGATATTTGTTAGTGTAAGCACCAACAGATGTTTGTCAGTGTAAGCACCAACAGATGTTTGTCAGTGTAAGCACCAACAGATGTTTGTTAGTGTAAGCACCAACAGATGTTTGTCAGTGTAAGCACAACAGATGTTTGTTAGTGTAAACACCAAGAGATATTTGTCAGTGTAAGCACCAACAGACGTTTGTTAGTGTAAGCAACAACAGATATTTGTCAGTGTAAGCACCAACAGATGTTTGTTAGTGTAAGTCAATGTAAGGGCCTATAGATAATTGTCAGTATATGCACCAACAGATAATTGTCAGTATGTGCACAGATTTTTGTCAGTTTAAGCGCTACAGAATAATGATGTATGTCGGTTGTAGTTGTTGGAAGAAAGATACTTGTCGAAAATGTTTCCGAGACGTTTAGGGTTACATGCATTTTCAGGAAGAAGATGACACCATCCCTTTCTGCAACGTCACCTCGGTGACAGGTAGTTGTGACGTCACAATGCTTGACCCTTGTGTGTGCAGCCAGTACAAGTGGTCAGGGTCTGCTGAAATCAGAGACGATGGGTTCGGACTCTACCAAGTGACCGCTTCTATTAATGCAACAGGATCGTTCCGACACGACAATTTCACCCTTGGTTACAACGGCACCGTATCAGCTACCATCACGTAAGCAAAACCCAATTATTGGCAGTCTGTTTAATATGACGAAAAATGAAACATACAACCTTATTGATGACAACTTCTTGTTTATTGCATGAAGCGACGTTTCGATGTAGATTGCTTTACCTTGATAACGATGTAAGAATCTGCATCGAAACGTCGCTCTATGCAATAAAGAAGTTGTCATCCATAAAGTTGTATGTTTCATTTTTCGACTCACCAACTTCTAGAAGGCCGATCAAACAATGTTTCACATGTGATCACAGGGATCTCTTTGTCCAGATTGTTTCACAGGAATAATGATATGTCCAGGGCAGCCATTACTGGTCACTTGTCATCAATGCCAATTTCTCACTCGAAGACATACTCCCAACAGTGAAGTGACTGGACGTTTTAATCATAAATATTGAAACAAGTGCTTTTTCCGGCAGGGGCGACTGTTGTAAAGCACTTGTCTACATCATCGCTGTCGACCTCGCCAGCAACACCGGTCAGTGTGTGTTTGATCTCGCCCCAGGACTGACGAAGCCATTTCAGTCCTGCAAGCCAACAACTCAGGTTCGTCAACCAAGTAAATCCAGTAGAAATAGATTGTTTTATTTCCTCCTAAATCAACATTCATATTATTGATGGAAGGAGATACTTATATAGGCGTTTTATCAATACATTGTTCAAAAGTCAGGTCCAAATAAATGATGAAGAATATGAATTTACATTATAACAATGTGCGTATATTCATGTAATACAGATATGTATGGTTCTGTGTGTCCTGCTCTACAGCCCCCCGACGCCCGGTCCAATGAACTTGTTACCATCGTCGCTGCTGTCGGAGGTGTTGGACTCATCATCCTTGTGCTTGTCATCACTGTGGTCATTGTCGTCATCAGAGGCAGAGGAAGGAAGAAGACCGCTGGTTGATTTTATCACCACAGTCTTTGAGTAACGGGTTTACCGACCTACAAACCTACTGACTTCATGTAAATATGCTTACAACTTGATAGACTTCTACGTGTCTTCCTCTTTTAAATCTGGATTGTTTCCCTTCCGGACATCCTGGGAATTTACTTTTAGACCTGTTTACACTTTCTGTTTGTAATGTTTGTTTTAGATCTACTTATGCAGAGAACATTTGTTCTATTCTGATCATTATTACATTCTTAAAGATTTGTATGCAGTATATATATACTTCTTGACGGATTAAATTCTTATCTATACTGTAATTCATTTGTTGTCATTAATATTGGAAACATCTTTCATTACCAGTAGTGTGTCGCAACTGTCAGTCAAAAGGATAATGTATAGGATAAGGTATTCTGTGCTTGGTTACCCGGAGAAAATGTACACCTGTGTGAAATCAGAGTTGTGTAAAGCCATATCCAACAATATTTCAACAATATGGACAGTGAAGTATGTGAGTATGGACCAGGTAATCCAGTGATAGTTGAAATTAGCATCCATCTGCTGAATGACCTGGTGAATGACCTGGTGAAAGACATGGTGAGTTACCTGGTGAATAACAGGGTGAATGACCTGGTGAATGACCTGCATAAGGTCAGACTGACCATTTAATCCCGTTGGTCACTTCTTAGGACGCCCTTGGGTTGTTGAATATGTGAACCGTACGGTGTGAAAAGTGGACGAGTGAGTGGGTTGTTATATAAAAGGTTATGATAAATGTGTAATACAAAGTTTATGATATGACAGTTTCCCTTTCTCCAGTCATATCAACCCGAGACTACCATATCAGGCCTCGGGTAGTCTCTGGCTGATATACCTGACGAGAGGGAAACTGTCATGGCATAACTGTTTTATCATATACCACATGAGGGGACGTTACTCTTAAATAGACTAGGCTCCGTCTATTGAAGTTTCGAGCGTTTGCGTGTATTCATTCCATACCTTTTAGTAGCCAGACAGTACGGCTGATATGGATTTTCATCCCGGGAGGTCAGTGTGGATCTATTCCGACAGCCAGTATTGTATGTGCAAAATGGTCCATATTATGTATTCATAGGTATGTGATAAAGAAGTTACTGCACCAATACCAGGGTATTTTACCAGAATAATCTCAACAAATAAGATTCTGTATGAGTGAGTGAGCGAGTATGGTTTTACGCCGCTTTCAGCAATATTCCAGCAATATCACCGCGTTTACACCAGAAATGGGTTTTACACATTATACCCATGTAGGTAATCCAACCCATTTCATACGCTGTATGAGAAACCAGCGTGTGAGAAGCCAGTTCACTGTGTTGAACCATAAGGCTGACCAAGGCTAGAACCGACTCAGCGACATGAAATAACACTTTACAATTAACTAACGCGTCAATCCCCCACGAAGCGTCATCTACACATAAACCGCAAGTCTGCGGATACGGACTCTACTCTGCAATACAGGAACACACATTGCCATTTACTTACAGTAACATTAGCAGGTGAACACTGCGATCCCCTCCCCTTTTTACATTGTTTCTGGTGAGATTCAGCAGTGTTGAGTGATGTTACTCTGTTCACATTCAGAGTCAAGACGTGTAGAGGTTTCTAGAACAGTCAAAATATCTAGCGTAGTCTAACCCAGAATGTTAGGGAACGTTCTGGACCAGAAACTTCTGAAAGCTTTGACAAATATGACTCAATGGCGCTGTGACACACTGACGTCAATATGACTTCACAGATCAATCTTTCTGTATCTCGCTAGTGGACGTGGTAATGGCCTTTAGAGATATTGCATATAGTCAAAATAGTGGCTTCAGCAAGCTCTTCAGTACTTTAGGCAGAACACAATCTTGTATTTAAACGCTCAGTGAACGTTTGGTTCATCGTCAGATATAAGAGATGGACATGTTGCTGAGGATGGACAAGGTGATGACACCGACCTTTCCATCGTGCGACCACTGACTTATATTGAACCGAAGGAACAAGATGACAACGCAGGACTGACCCAACCACGTCAAGGTCGTTCTGCTCAGTGCAAACATGTGTATAGTCTCAAGTAAGCAAGAATAATTACGAAATGCGGCGGCCATCTCAGCCTGTTACGACGTGAACCAAAAGAGAATCGTCGCTCTTCAAAACCAAATGCAAGATTTTGTTCATACAAAATGGTGTTTTTGTAAGATTGTATCTTTTTATCAACATGTTTTTCAATCCAATTTCATAGTTATTACCAACATCAGTGTGTTTTCTGATGAAAAAGCATATCGACCAAACGCACCTAAAATGGCAGACGTGGTAAAAGGTTCCGTATGACATTCGTGAAAATGAAAATGCACGTGCATATCGTGACAACTCTAGCAATGAGAGCGAGTCCCAAACTAGTCAGAAATCAGTTTTGCTTTGACACAATTGCCATGGCACGACTTACGAGAGTTCAGAGGAACGAAAACGATTGCAAGCTGGCCAGACTGCACGGAGCGTAGCCAATCATTTTAATGTTCACGTTAGGACAGTTTACCGACTGCAGTGGGCGACCTTCAGTAACATCATAACGTCAAGACCGACACCATCTGCAGGATCGTTTCCTCAGAGAGGCGGAAACAGCACGCCATACCATTGGGACTTACAACAGACCCATCAGTGCCGATACAATGCGTCGACGTTTGCGCGGGTGAAACCTCTGCTGTCACAGACCATATCGTATCGTAGACCATATCCAGTCCTCACTGCTCATCATCGCTAAAACCGACTGCAATGGGCAACAAGTCAGCATCGAAATAGGCGTTATCTACAATGGAGAACTGTGCTTGTTATCTCACAAAAGCCGATATTGTGTTTCGACAGTTGATGGCAGAGTGAGAGTATGGTGAAGGCGTGGGGAACTGTTTTTCAGGAGTATTGTTGAAAGAGACCCATGGGGTGGTCCAAGCATAATGGTTTTGGGGTGCAATCGGTCTGAACCAGATAGTTAGACTGTGGTGTCCCAGAATCTCGGTCCAGGATGAGGAAATAACGTGACAGCTGCTCGCTATACTGGTCATATCATAAGACCCTACGTTGTACCACAGTTTGGACGTTACAGAAATCACATCTTTCAGCGAGACAACGCTCGTGCCCACACTGCCAGAGTAGCATTGGACTTCCTAAGACAACATGGCATTCAAACCCTACAATAGCATGCACTCAGTCTTGATTTGAGTCCCATAGAATAGAGAACAGAGATTCAAAGAGGGCTGAATGACCTCCACCCAAGGCCGACAACTGAGGCTGGACTCGATCAGGCATTTCACAGAGTATGGACCCAAGTGCCTATGGCCTCCATCAACAGGGTAATTCATTCCATGTACAGACGATGCAACGCTTTCATTGATGCCCATGAGGCCACACACACTTTGGGGTATCGGAATGGTACCATGTTTGGTGATTTTGTTTGTGTGAACTCTAAATGTGATTACCGAAAATGTGTTCACCATAATTGTCAAGTTTGAACTCAGTCCTCTGTTTTGGTTGTTAATTAGAGTGAATTAAAGTGTCTGCTTTAAGAAACCGCTGTCGGTGCGACATTTCTTTTTTGGGGTTCAGTAAACTTGCAGCCGTTTGACGTGCACCTAGATACAGAATTACTTGTAAAATCAGACAAAAAATGTCTTCGTACATCATAACAAGCCAACACACTTGCAGTGTGAAAACATTCATATCACATTCACTGGATTGTCTGATATGTCACGCTTTGAGCTTGCAATGTGCATGGATAAACGTGCAATATAAATGGACAATTATTAACATTATTATATAACATGTTCGCAAAAACGGGGTTCATTTCTTTACTGAAGTATGCTTTCTCAAGAATTGTTGATCTGCCGATCGATTGTACTTATCTACTCTATGGTTCTGAAATACGTGGGTTGGACTATTCTAAAGTTATAGGCTTTCCTTAAGCTTACCTCAGAGCTAAAATCTCCAACACCCAGCTTCATGGTACACGAATGAAGAGAGTGCCATTAAGTCTTCAAACTGCCAAAGGAATTGCATATATGGCATAATATTGTATTGAAAGTTATTCGATATAGATAAACGTATTGTACAAAATTTATGATGGCTGTATAGAGCGATTACCGGAGTATTTCTCGCACCTGAACATTTTCATAACGAATGGATTGCCCTAAGTGTTGAACGACAGCTTAAGGGGTGATTTTACACAAACTGAGGAGCGCAAACTTAACTAGCCCGAAAGATAACCAATATCAATTTGTCAAACAACTTCCATCTCCCAGCAAATATTTGTTGTGTCCAAGATTTCATACTGTATTTCAAGATACATAACCACAAGTAATAATTTCCCTGTCCATTCAGCCCTTTGTCAGGGACCTCCAGAAAGCGAACTAGAGTAATACATGTAATGTATGTAAACCAGCAACTGCAGTCGATTTCCCTTCCGTCGAGGTATTCAAAGAAGAACGAAATTAGGACAAGTAAAGATACTTGTGCTTGGCAATATTACATTTGAATGCATCGCTCTTGTACCGTTAGTGGTGCTTTATGGAGAAACATAACGTTCTCAAGTTAGACATGCTATCAAAACGTGAAGACAATTTAACGCATGCTTGTAAGAGGCGATTAACGGGACCTTTTGGTTAGGCCCGCTGACACACGTCATCGTATTCCAAATGAGTAGATCGATGATCAAGTTGTTGATCACTGGATTGTCGGGTCCAGACTTGCTTACTTACAGACCGCCTCCATGTAGCTGGCATTTTGCTGATTGCAGCGTTAAAAATCAATCAATCAGTCATACCTAAAACTGTTGAACGTAGAACCAAACATTACGGCGGTCTGTAAATAATTGCGTCTTGATAAGACAATGCAGTGATCAACAGCAAGAGCATTAATCTACGCAATTGGGATACGATTATAGCAGAGTCAAGGTGAGGCAAAGGTTACCAAGACTCTGCTGGGGTGTTAGGTTGTTTATTTCTGTAGCCTGAGATTGATAAACCGACACCCTGTAAGAATCAATATAATAATTGACTATACATCTCACACAATTCATACAAGATCAATACAATTCCATACACGGGTTGATACATATGGATAACTACCAATAATACTGTAGTTACTCAAAGCATGAATACCACTACTTACTACACATATGAAATATTGGAATTACGATATTACATCATTACGAATAATGTAATGATAATACATGCATACAATGTAATACACACAAGATTGGCAATAATACACCATTACGCATTAGTCGTAATGTGAATGTACACATGATTCG